GACAAGAGGTGGCCGGTTCTCTACATCCCCTGCCTTCTCGCGGCGGCGCTCCACTGCTATCGCAGCGGCACGTTGCTTGTTCAAGGTACGATCCGACGAATCCTGCTGCTCGACGATGAATTCTGAGTGGTTGACAGCCGGAGTCTGCACGACGGTGAAGTGATCTCATGGTGATCGAGGATATGGTTTCCGTGACATATTGCGTGCGTTGGGGATTCGCTCGATTGGGGGAGGCGAGACGGTGGGGGGAACTCGAGGAGAACGACCGCCATGAATGCGGGCGGAAGGTGGATAATAAATCTGCACCGCCCGATGGCTGGGAGACGCAACTCATCCAAATCCCCACCTTCACCCACCACAATGCCCGACGACCTCCACCCGAGAGAGAGAAATCAGAGCACGTCGCCGATGGCAGATTGGAGGATGAGGATGCAGAAAACCATGGTGGAAGTGGCGAGCAGCGACGAGGCGAAGCTGAAGAGGGCGCAGGAGATCGTCTCCTGGTTCTCCACCAGGAAGGAGATGAGGCACGCGGTGAAGCACGTCTTCAGGAGCTTGACCGTGGAGGAGGACGAGGGGCTCAACCCAAACGGATTCACTACTCTGACGGGTGCGCCGGTAAGCTCTCTCGCAACATTGGTCTGGGCCATGGAGGAGACCGAATTCGGGGATCCAGCATAGAAGGCGAAGTTGTGGGGATTTCGCTCTCGCCGCCGCTTCCCAGCTGGGCCAGAGGAATTCGTGATAGGGACGGTGATGGTCATACCCACTTCGAGGACACGCTGGGTGCCGATCCCAATCGAAGACAGCGAGGATGAGATGGAGAAAGATGCAGAGGTGCGGGAGATGGAGGCAGATCCGATCGGGAGCGGCGACAGGGGGAAGAAGAAGCAGAAGACCCAGGATCCCCGGCGCTTCCCGTGCTTCCTCCGTCGCTCGCCACGCCTCCTCAGCCTCTCCAAGTCCGCTCTGGCGGAATAGGCGTCTTCCCCGCCGGCAATCGGTTCTGGTTGCTGGCTGGGGAGGACGCTGACGAGGAGGCTGGGGACTCGTCAGATGAGATTGGTAAGCTGTTGTGCTTTGATAGATCATGTGTTTACTTGCTTGATGATGATGATGATGATGATGGGAATAAGTCCTAAAAAATCATGCATAGGAAAATAGATAGAAGAGACAGGAAAATTTGTGGAAATGGTGGTGAAAATCCTGCAAATATAAATTGCAAGGACGACAATGGGAGGGAGATGAAGATAAACTTGGGAAAAATTATTTAGATGGATGGATAGTGAAAAAGTTTATGGAATTGCATCCCAAAATACCTGACTATTGGTCAGGGATTGGGCATGATGATACCTTACTTTGTATTTCTGATTGTGTGGTGAAGCAAGATTATGATAGTCAAAAAAAGAATATTCCTAAAAATGATATAATAGAGGAATGGGCCGATGACTTATGTAACTGGACAGGCTTAAAGCCCAGCCTAGATAACATAAAAGTCATGGGGGAAGGAGGGCTCTGGGAGGAGACATATATAAACCCAACCCTCCCTCCTCTTTAGGGTTTGATATCCACAACACGAGCGAGGTAGGGTTTCCCCCCTGCCGCCGACAGAAGAGGAGGAGACGGACATATTTGGTGGTCGCTTTGGAGGAGGGAGGGAGATTCAACAGAGCAGGCAGAGACAATTTCCAGTATAGGAAGAAAGAAGAAGGGAGTGAGAGATTCAGAAATTACAGTGAGAGAGAGAGTAAGAAGGAGTGGGAACAAGGAGGGAGCAGTAGCAATCTTCAGATGAGGAGGGAGCAGCAGCAAGATCGGGAAAGACAGGAAGAAGAGAGAGAGAGAGGATGAAAGCTGACAAGGAGAAGGAGATCCAGGAGGCATCTAAACCAGGTATGGCTGAAGCTAGTAGGGATAGTGTAGGTGGTGAAGTAGATATGATTCAACAACAGCGCATTCTCTCGGCGTTGCTGGCTCAGCTGACATAAGGGAATCCATTGTTGGGGGGAAGTAATCTAAATTTACAAGGAGGTGCTAGCAGGCTACAACAAAACATTGGCAGAGAGGTCAATAGAGGAGACAACATTTTGATCCAGGGGGGAGAAAATCAGAGTAATTCATGGAGTAACAAACCTGCTAATATCTTTGGGAGAGATGGACCATGGAAGGAGGAGCATCAGGGAGATATTTTGGAAGGGGGGGGGGCAGACTAAAGAGGGAAGCAAAATGATAACAGGAGGGACAAATAGATTGATGTGCAACAAATGCAAGGACACCAGACATGCTACAAAAGACTGCAAGCTTAATAACTGTGCAGTATGCGGGAAAAGAAACCATGTTACTGATGATTGCACTTGGCTGAGGCAAATGAAACCTTTCCCAAAGTTTTTAGAATATGCTGCTAGAGGTCTATGAGTGCTGTTAGTGCAAAGTTCTAAGGATATCTCAGATTTTGAGAACCCTAATTCAATGGCTCTGGTGAATGAAACTCAACTACTGGAAGGGTTCAATTATATGTTTAGTTGGAGCTGGCAGTGGAGATGTAAGAAACAAGGGAGTAATGATGAAGTCATGTACCTGGGGTAGGGTCATGAACCTGTCCCAGGTACCCTCCCCGAGGATATCTTTACAAGAAGCCATCTTCCAGTCGACCTAGAGGGACTCCACTCGACTGACTGGAAGACACTCGACGAACTTGAAGACACTCAACCATGAAGACTCACTCGACCACCAGGAGTTCAAGATCTACTCTGTATCCAAACGGTCTGTAATTAAGTAGTCTTTATGGTCATGATGACACTTTATGTAGGGTGTTACCAGTAACACCCGGCCTTAATGTACTTTAACCCTCCGCTACGTGGGCTGGCTGGGGTCTTGGCATCCTCTATATAAGCCACCCCCTCCACTGGCAGAAGGGTTCGCACCCCTGTAACTCTCACACATATAATCCAGTTGACCGCCTCCGGGCACCGAGACGTAGGGTTGTTACTTCTTCCGAGAAGGGCCTGAACTCATAAAACTCTTCTGTGAACAACTACTCCATAGCTAGGATCTTGCCTCTCCTT